CTTAACTTTATTGCTATCACACAGGAGCTAGCTAACAAGCCCCTGTGTGATAGCATTAGGAGGTGGCAGGTTCTCTTTATTGAACCTGTCACCCCCAATACAGGAGTTCTAGCACAGCGCTGTGTGCTGGAAGCCCTGTGACAGTTGAGAGAGGAAGGCTGCGGTCTCACTGTTTACACACCTTCTCCGCTCCAAGATCCTGAAGAGAGAAGCTCCGTCCGGGTGTCGGGGAGAGAGGTAAGTGGCGAGGCGGGCCGGGGGGGCGGACGTTTGAGCAGGCTGCGCTGTACGTTTAGCTCTGCTTGCCCAAAGCAGAGCTAAACGTACAAAACAACTACCCGCCCAGCGCCCGGAACTTCATTTTCCGGCCGAGGGGTGATAGGAATCCGTGCCGCCCCGAGGGCCAGACCTCGGTTGGCCTTGTGGGAAATCTGGCCCTGGCTAGGTTGGCCAGGGTAGGATAGTCATGCCCCCTCCTGCGGTTTATACACCTCACCCCTACAGCAAGTAAAAGCGGTTTGCAGAACGTGTGACGGCGCTGAGCAACAATGGGAAGAGCAAAGGTACCAGAGACGGCACTCAACAATCAGGCTGGCCAGTGAAGTTGGGTTGAAGTCTGTCCCTATCCTTTAGCTTGTCCCTGGAAGTTCTAGTCTTCAGTCTGTCCTGAACTTTGGCTTGTCTCTGGAAATCCCAGTCTTCTGTCTGTCCCTATCCTTTGCCTTGTCCCTGGAAAGCCCAGTCTACAGTCTGTCCCTATCCTTTGCCTTGTCTCTGGAAATCCCAGTCTTCTGTCTGTCCCTATCCTTTGCCTTGTCCCTGGAAAGCCCAGTCTTCAGTCTGTCCCTATCCTTTGCCTTGTCTCTGGAAAGCCCAGTCTTCAGTCTGTCCCTATCCTTTGTCTTGTCTCTGGAAATCCCAGTCTACAGTCTGTCCCTATCCTTTGCCTTGTCCCTGGAAAGCCCAGTCTTCAGTCTGTCCCTAGCCTTTGTCTTGTCTCTGGAAATCCCAGTCTTCTGTCTGTCCCTATCCTTTGCCTTGTCCCTGGAAAGCCCAGTCTTCAGTCTGTCCCTATCCTTTGCCTTGTCTCTGGAAAGCCCAGTCTTCAGTCTGTCCCTATCCTTTGTCTTGTCTCTGGAAATCCCAGTCTTCTGTCTGTCCATATCCTTTGCCTTGTCTCTGGAAATCCCAGTCTTCTGTCTGTCCATATCCTTTGCCTTGTCCCTGGAAATCCCAGTCTACAGTCTGTCCCTATCCTTTGCCTTGTCCCTGGAAATCCCAGTCTACAGTCTGTCCCTATCCTTTGCCTTGTCCCTGGAAATCCCAGTCTTCTGTCTGTCCCTATCCTTTGCCTTGTCCCTGGAAAGCCCAGTCTTCAGTCTGTCCCTATCCTTTGCCTTGTCTCTGGAAAGCCCAGTCTTCAGTCTGTCCCTATCCTTTGTCTTGTCTCTGGAAATCCCAGTCTTCTGTCTGTCCATATCCTTTGCCTTGTCCCTGGAAATCCCAGTCTACAGTCTGTCCCTATCCTTTGCCTTGTCTCTGGAAAGCCCAGTCTTCAGTCTGTCCCTATCCTTTGTCTTGTCTCTGGAAATCCCAGTCTTCTGTCTGTCCATATCCTTTGCCTTGTCTCTGGAAATCCCAGTCTTCTGTCTGTCCATATCCTTTGCCTTGTCCCTGGAAATCCCAGTCTACAGTCTGTCCCTATCCTTTGCCTTGTCCCTGGAAATCCCAGTCTACAGTCTGTCCCTATCCTTTGCCTTGTCCCTGGAAATCCCAGTCTTCTGTCTGTCCCTATCCTTTGCCTTGTCCCTGGAAAGCCCAGTCTTCAGTCTGTCCCTAACCTTTGGCTTGTCCCCGGAAATCCCAGTCTTTTATCTGTCCCATCCTTTGGTTTGTCCCTGGAAATCCCAGTCTTCCGTCTGTCCCTATCCTTTGGTTTGTCCCTGGAAGTCCTAGTCATCTGCCTGTCCCTGGCCTTGTTCTGTGTGGCAATGCAACCTGTCTAGAACTCTGGCCTTGTCCACCATTGTTGGCTGTTAGGTGAGTTGGGTGAACCTGGGGATTGTGACCTTGGGTCAGCACGCAGCCAAGTCCATCTCCACCATCAGGAGCTCCGGTGAACACCGGGTGGCCCTTTGATTCCACATCCTGGGGGACCCCATGCCACCTACTTAGCAGTGCAGCACCCTGCCTAGTACCTTGACCTACCAGCCCAATCTGTCTTCCATTGCCCCATTCAGTTCCCCGGCTCTGTTCCCCTGCTTGTACTCCAGCTCTGGGAGTCGTCAGCCTACACTGCTCGCACCCTTTCCTCTAGGTGTCCCTGCCAGTGTAACAGGAGGGGCCACATACCTGATTCCAGTCTATACCTGTGACCCCTGACCCGTGACCGTTACTTGATTTTTGTATTTGCAAATAAAACAAACCTAAAGCCCGATTTCTTCCATTTTGGATATAATGTGGAAGGATCAGACATCTTATTGATGTATCCAGCAGAGGAGAGTCGCCCTCTTCACGTGTCCAGACGGGTCACCTTCTCACTGAAACGGAAAGGGATGGAAACCCCAAAATTTGCAATCTGTCACCAGAACCTGTTCCCCCCTCATGCTCTCACTTCCTGTTGTGTCTTCTGTAGAGTGTTGGAACAATGAGAGCGTCGCACTGATTAATAAGGTCCATTTTCAGGTTTTTATGAGATGACTCAGTGTGGCGCTCCTATTTCCCCAATACTCTGCAGACATTTCCGGGGGCCCCTTGGGATACCCTCGTCTACATCGAGCCGTCTCCAAATTCCAGGAACCCTGCTACTTATCCTCGCCCACCGCTCCTACAGGACACATCTATTTGCTGTTGTGTCTAAGGCCCCGTTCACACCTTGGCGTCTTGTAGCGCGTTCGTACGCTCTGCAAAACCCTCAAACATCGAAATCCCATTGTTTCCTATGGGCATGGTTCACACCTGGGCGTATCACAGGCCGTATGAACGCGCTACAAAACGTCCTACGCCCCAAAGAGGTACAGGAGCTTCTTTGGGGTGTTTTTGTCGCGCGTTTCCATTGGGATACAGCCAAGTAGCCCTCGGAAACGTGCGTTTGTAGCGCAGTTTTTTTACTGCGAATCGCGGTAAAAACGTGCGACACGAAACGCGCGACACACGCACATATTCGATACGCCTAGGTGTGAACCCAGCCTTACAGTGATATTAAATCCTCCTTTTTAAAAAAAAATATTTATTACAAGGAGACCCACCTTTGCTGGAGGATGTTGCCGTTTTTTTTTTTTAAGTTTTCAATTTCTAATTTTCTAGTGGGACCCCGCAGCAATCTTTCCTCCGCCCCCTTTACGCACCCCACCATCGTTCTAATGGAGGCACTCGTGCGCGCTCATGCCCCCAGTGGCTGTGTCCATAGACACGCACAGCCCTGTGGCAAGCCACGCCCCTTCTCTCTTTGATTGATGGCAGAAGGAGCCTATGGCCCCCCGCAAACCAGGAAGTTCAGGGAACGGAGGATCGCTTCGGGACCGGCGGCGGGGGGGTGTGTGTGTGTGGGGGGGGGGGGACAACTGGGGAAGAAAAAAAGGTGCTGGGCCATTTTTACCCTAATGCAGAGAATACATTAAGGTAAAAAACACCTTAATACTATAAGGACAGGAAGTGAAGGAAAATCTTCCCAATGGGGGACAGATTGCAAAGTAAATACATAAGCTTCCCTCTCCCACTCTGAGCTCTGCTGTACAGGGACTGATACCAGGACACATGAAGGTACTTACACCGCTTGCATCTAAAATACATTTATTGATATATTGAGGATTACATTTGCGTTCTTCATATCTGGAGTTCAGCTTTAGGTTTTATAGAAATGTCTCCGGTCCCTTGTAGGGAGGTTGAGCAGGTCTTCGGGACTGAAGCCTCCTGCCAGTTGTTGCATTCAACACCTTCTTGTAAGTTGATTCCAGTTGGGTGGATTTTTGGTTAATTAAGTCTTATGGCAAGGATATTAACATAGAGGTCACCCCCAAGGCTGGAGTCCGGGAATCGGGGGGCTGTAGCTTGCAATAAAGCGGCACTGGGAATAGAGACATTCAGGAGTCTAGGTGACAGACCGGATGAAAACAACGTGTTCTATGAAGGTAGACCAGGGGCGGGCAACCTCAGCACTCCAGCTGTTTTGGAACTACAAGTCCCATGAGACATTGCAAAAACTGACAGCCACAGGCATGGCTTCCAGAGACAGAGGCATGATGGGATCTGTAATTTCACCACATCTGGAGTGCCCGGGTCGCCCACCCCTGTGCTGGATTGTCTCTTCTCTATTGCACTGCCATTCTTCACACTCACTTACGCTGTAGCTTCGAAAAATGCCAGACCAGAAGACAAAACATTACAAACAGGCAAAGAGCAATAACTACTACGGCCACCTTTAACTTCTTCGTCACCTCTCTGTTTTCTTCTTGTAATTCTCGAATTCTCCTCTCGCTGTCCACTTCCCGCAGGTCACAGAAATCCCTCCGCTCCGACTCTCGCTCCTGTAAGACGGCCAAGGGATCTTCGGCATTGACCAGGAAGATGATGTCGTCGATCTTATGGGTCAGCTCCTCTTTCGCCGATCCCAGCTGCTTTATCTGATCGGAGATCTTCTGCTTTTTGGTCATCAACGTCATGAGAACTTGTTGCAGTCTCGTCTTCTTGACCTCGCTGGCATCGCCGAGCCTCAACGGGATGGGGAAAAAGTGGATCTTGCACTGGAGACACAAAAAAGCTTTGCAGTACTGGCAGTACGTGGAAAAGCCTACATCGTGTTTTGGACATTTCCAGATTCTTGGTGAAGCAACGATGTCAATCAAGGCGTGATCTGCTGTGCACTTTGAGGTGGTTATAGCACAGAAACGCTTCACAGGGTGCGCACTGCTTGACGGCGGGCACGGACGCGTGGAGACAGTAAGAGCAGAGGACTCTCCGATCTCTCCGGTTCATCTTCACATAAAAGGTCCACCAAGTTCCAAAGTCTTTGAGTTCTTTCGTTCCAAAATTCAGTTGGACGCTCAGGACAGGTGGAAGTTCCAACGTTATCCTCTGTAACCAAAACCAGAGTCAGGGAGCCCAGTGCCCGCGTTTCCGTATTAAGCAGTTAGGTAGCACGGCGGAAGAAGCCGTGGATGAAACAGCGAGAGGCGCAGAATGATTGCCTTGTGGGAGCCGGTTGGTTTCGTTTCTCCAAAAAGGGTGCGGGTCCGAGTATTGGTGGACTTTGTTCCTCGTAACTCTACGCTCCAGACTGAGATACTCACCTTGTGATGGAAGCAAAGGGCTTATTAGACAAAGGACCAGAGGAAATCCCTGTGCTCCTCGGCTCCATCTAGTGGCGGCGGGCGAGCGGCATTCACCCAGCTGTATGCTGCTGGGCACCAGATTTATAAATCACCCCCCCCCCCCCAATTTTTGTGCCCAGCTTATTAAACCCCCCCCCCCCCCCAATAGTTACAGGACAGCTAGAGGGGCCATTTATCTCCATCATAATACTGGTATGAAGGCTTCCATCTGCAGGTCTCCTTTAAGGAAGGCTCATGGCTCTTGTTTTCAAACAATACAGAAAGAAAGAAGGATGAAACACCTTTCCACCGGTTGGATTTGTGTTTACAGCATGTACGCCCATCAACAAACTCCTGTTACGGCGTACTCAGCCATGACGGGGGAGAAGAGAATTAACTCCTGCAACTCTTCCCAAGGCAGTGACAACTAGTGCTAGGCTGGCCAGGGTAGGGTAGTCATGCCCCCTCCTGCGGGCAGGAAAACCAGTTTATACACCTCACCCCTACAGCAAGTAGCGGCATTTTGCAGCAGGTATGACACAGAGGGGAAAAGGACAAAGCTTAGTGGCAATGGGAAGAGAAAAGGTACCAGAGACGGCCCTCAACAATCAGACTGGCCAATGAAGTTGGGTTGAAGTGAGACCTTCTGCTCTGCATACGTGGCCCAGAGAGGCCCCTGCACTACCCTGACCCTAGTTGTGACCTGTATGGTGACCCTCAGATCCACCAACAATCTCTGTCCAATCAACTTTAGATTGACCAAAACTCTGTAGAACGAGGACCTACCTAATCCAGCCTCTCTCAACCAGCGTGTCTTCGAGGAGCACCTTGAAACTTTCACACAAGGTCACGTCTGTCCATGGTGCATGGAGGCTTCTGATGAAAAGGGGGGGGCACGCCTCTGATATAAAAGGGGG